GAGAGAGAGAGAGAGAGAGAGAGAGAGAGAGAGAGAGACAGACAGACAGACAGACAGACAGACAGACAGAGACAGACAGAGAGACAGACAGAGAGACAGACAGAGAGACAGAGAGACAGAGAGAGAGGGAGAGGAGATTTTGCACAAGGTGAAGGGATCACGAAAGGGGGGGACACAGAGAGAGAGAGAGAGAGAGAGAGAGAGAGAGAGAGAGAGCAAAGCGACATGTCGCCGGAGGATAATGCTGAGTGAGAATCAGGGAGATGAAAGAGCAGAGTAACATCAGTGAATGTTCAATGTTGTTTCACCCCATGCTGTACTACAAGGCGTCTCAACGACGGCGTTGTGGTGCATTTCCAAAACCTGAGTTGTATCGCGGTTGTCTCTCTGCTCCTCCTCCTCCTCCTCCTCCTCCTCCTCCTCCTCCTCCTACTCTGCTCCGTCCCATCATGGCCGCCTGATGACTTCCGGGGTTGATTGCACCAGTCAGCAGTCGGGATCTGTCTCTCTCCTTTTTTTCCCGCACCAGCCTCTCTGCCCGTAGCTCCTCGATCGATTTCCTCCTTTTTGGCGCGCTTTGTTTACCGTTTGGCGCGCTTTCTTTGCACTTTGTTGGCGCGCTTTGCTTGCAGTTTGTTGGCGCGCTTTGATTACCGTTTGCCGGATCGAGAGAAGCAGCAGGACACGTGGCATCCTCTCTCATTGGCCGCGCCATTGGTCGATGAACGGCAGCAGCATGACACGTGGCATCATCGTCTCTCACTGACCGCCGCAGCACACTGGCCTCCTCCGCGCCTGCTCTTGATGGACCTGACCACTCCCTCTCCCTCTCCCTCTTTCTCTCCCTCTCCTCTTCCTCCTCCTCGTCCTGTTCCCTCTTCCTCCGCTTGGTTGAAGCTGTCGTTGGCTTCCTCCATAGCCAGACAACATCCTCCTCCTCCTTCTTCTTCTTCTCTACCTCCTTCACTCTCAGTTCAGACATATCCAACGAGTTCCTCTTCGATACATACCACGGCTGCGCCACACCAGAGCCCGCTAGACCGTATGCCATGCGGAATCGCTCGTCATCCTCTCCCCTTATCTGATTGGCCCGTTCCCGCCTTTTCATCTTATCCGTTTCCTTATCCATTTCCTTATCCGTTTCCCGCCATTTCCTATTCCTTTCCTTATCCGTTTGCTCTTGGAAGTCGACGTTCTCCCGGCCGCTGGCCTTCCTCTCCCTCCTCCTGTCTCCCCTACCACAGATCCAACCATCTCCCTCGCCCTCCTCCTCCTCTCCCTGCTGCCCTCTTTCTCCCAACAATCTCCCCCCTTGCTCATCCTCCTTCTCCTCCTCCTTGCCTCCCTTAGTGCGCGCAGCGATCGCCGCTGCAGCGGCTGCAGGGGAGGAAGAAGACAAGACCCTCCGGAAGAAATCATCATCATCAAACTGATCGGAGCGGGTCGTCGCCGGTCGCGACCCCGACTTATCCACTGCAGCACCTGGATCTGGATCCCGACCCTCCTTATCTGCACCTGCGATTGGCCTTCTTGCGTAGGAAGGTGCAGACGCAGTCGGGACCGCGACTGCGCCTTCGCCCCCGGCTCTCACGCTGTCAGCGTGAGAAGAAGCGGATGTGCCACATGTCGCGATCCCGACCGATGATGATGAGATGGCCGCTGGTGCGGCGGTTGCAGACTCTGCTGCAAGGCCGACAGGTGGCAGGAGATCCTGGGGACACGTGGCACTTCGCCGTGCAGCGGCGCGTTCCAGAAGCTTCGCATATCGAATCTCTCCGTCGCGGCGCCGTTGCTCCGCCTGCTCTTTCTCACGCTTCTGTGCCGCCTCTTCCTCATCCTTCTCCACCCTTGCCCTACTTTTCTGTCCATATACATTCCAGCTCTTCTGCGGCAGAATGTTCAATCCGCCATGGCCACCCATGACTTCCGCCCCCCTTCCACCACTACGACAGCCACACCGACTCTCTCTCTCTCTCTCTCCCTCCCTCTCTCTCTCTCTCGCTCGCTCGCTCGCTCGCTCGCTCGCTCGCTCTCTCTCTCTCTCTCTTCTTCGAATTATCTTGCCATATATTCCTGCTCAAAGTACGCTAAGAAAAACGATGTTGCTCTCTCTCTCTCTCTCTCTCTCTCTCTCTCTCTCTCTCTCTCT